GTATTGAGTAGGTCCCTGGCAGTCGGTACTACCTCTTGTTCTTTTTGTTGAGGTGATTTTTCCATCTTGTCATTTTGTGCAGAGGAGAATAGATTAATGAGAGAACAAAATGCTAGCAGAGTAACAATGTCCCCCGAAAATATACTCTAAACAAATCAGAAAAGACCTTCCAGAAAGTGGTCGCTTTTCTGTTCAGAGAGTTGTTGCTATTCCCTTCTTCGATCTCCTGTTGGGTTTGTAGGTGTTCAGAATGGTTTGATCCCTATCCAGCTGAATTCCTGAGAGGAGATGAAATCCAGGTCTCCTACTCCTCCGCCATCTTGCTCCTAAATGTCTCTTTTACACACACATGGCCACCAGAGTTTGGGGACATGCGTGTCACTGGCAGAAGAAATAACTGTCTGCTAATCATTACATTCTACTTACACCATCTAAATCCTAAAACCAAGTGAACCCCTGGAATGTAAAGACAGTGTTGTCCCTGTGCCCAGATCAGAGACTCGAAACACCATTCCCAACTCCAGTCTGACTCCGAGTCTGGGCAGGAGACCTTAGAGAATGAGCCTGAGGAGTCTCGTCACACCAGGAGCCACTCAAGCATTAGGAATAGCTCGGGTCGTGTCATAAGGACTCAGAAGCCAACTGGAAGAGGCCCGATGGTCCAAAGATGGGCGTAGGGGGCACTCACAAGGGTCGTGACTGTCATGGATGGAAGAGCATCATTGTGTTCAAAACCACAGGATTGGTTGATCACCGTGTTCCGTCTCTGTCTCTGAATGATTCACTGTGTCTCCATCTTGGTCTGTTGCACACACACCAGTAGGACCTCCAGGTCCCCTTGGGAGGAGAGCAGGGACCCACACATCTTATGTGAGGCTGCAAATAAGGGAGAAGATGGAGAAACATCACTGCCTTCCACGTGCAATCTAAGGCTCCGGTTACCACACGATGGGTGGGGGGTGAGTTTCTCTTTATTAAAGGATTTCAGCTCACAAATGACTGAGAAAGACCAGCCTCAGGATACCAGTCCCGGTCAGCTTCTAATGAGGTCATGGGTCTCTACAGCGGTGGTCCTGGGGCCCCGTGCACAGGAAAAGGGAAACAGGCGTTCTTGGTCCCTGGACGCAAAGACACCCCAGCGCCTGGGCTGGGTTCTTACTCTCTGGTCAGCTTGCATCTCGTTCATGCACACAGATGTCACAGCCCATATGTGGAGAGCGTGGGGGCCAGAGGAGACCAGGAGCCCCGGTGATCCAAGACCACGCACCTAGCCCTGGCTCAGACTCTCCCGTAGAATCCCAGCTGAGCCCGGGTGCCAATCATCACTTCTTCAGTGATGCGGGCATCTCAGCATTTACCGGTAACAACACGACGCCAGAGATCTGGTCTTCAACGTCTGCCTCGTTATGCTCCAAATCCATGTCAGAACCCTCTGGCAACTGCATAGTTTGGGGCTGAGGTCCGTCTTCACCCCTCTGGATCGTGTGGACAAACTGTCGTAAAGCAGACACCGTCTGAGTTGGGTGTGTGGTGTGCGGAGCTCACCTGCTTCCTGCTGACGGATGAGGCCCAGGGCAGTGCTCTTGGTGGATCTGCATCTGGCTGGAGACACCTCGTCGGGAAATGTGTGGACAGTCGGTGCTTCTCCAAGGGAAGCACAGCCCAGAAATCTCACAAGGAGCTCTTGTTTGCATCACGTTCTTTCATTAATAATTAAAATAATAGACAAGTGCCCTCTGTAATTTTCAGTGTTCAGTAACAGAATTGTTGAAGTAACTTTAAATAAATAACCTCCATTTCCGTATGTTGTCGCTCTTCCTTCTGAGCAGCGGTGCCCGCCTTCAGCACATCTGCTCTGTACACAGCTCCGTACTCGCTTTCGCTCACTGTCCTGAGATTCACAACTGGATTCCCTGCCTCAGGGATGCCTTAAAACACACGTGTGCACACACACATGCACACAGCACAAACACACGAACATACACAGCACACACATGCACACCCACTCACAGCACATATGCATACACGTGTGCATGCACACGCACACTCAGGCTCGGTGTCCTTTTACTGGAGACCTTCCTTCAGTGGACGGGTGCCTGGGATTTGGTGCTGCGTGTCCCCGCTCCTGCCCCTGTGTGCACCCCACTGTTCCACACTCACCGTGTGACCTGCCACAGTGTCCCCTAGAGACGGACTGAGCGTCCACCCAGGGGTTCCTCCAACATCGTGTCCTTTAAACACTAACATGCCTGCGCACCCTTGCCAGATTGTGTGGCCCGAGACACGCCAGAGTGTTCCACAGGTGCACCCCAGCCCTGCGTGCACCCTGAGTCTTGGGTGGCATTCATCCTCTTCCTCACTCTCTGCGTCTCCTGACACTCTGCCCCTCGGTCCCCACATGGTTCCCGTTCTGTGTTTCTGCTCCTCCAGACATTTAACCCCACTGGCATTGCTCTCGCTTTTTCTTTCACCAAAACCCTTTCCAAGCTTCAAATCTGAACTGAAAGACTGTGTTAGTTTCTCGGGCAGCCATAAGAAAATAACACAATATCCCCGCCTTAAACAAAAGAAATGTATTTCTTCTCTCTCCCCCGAAGGCTGCATGTCTGATATCAAGGTGCCACAGGGCTGGCTGATTCCCGCTGGAGGAAGGTGAGGGGACCTGGCCCAGGCCGGGCCCAGCTTCAGGGGCATCTCTGGTAATCGCTGGTGCTCCTTGGTGGTAGATGGATCACCCTCATCTCTGCCTCCATGTCCGCCAGGCATTCTCTCTCTATGTGTGTGTCCGCGTCCAAATGTCCTCTTTCTTTAAGACTTTATTTGTTTATTTGAGAGAGAGAGAGAATGAGAGAGAGAGTGAGCATGAGAGGGGGGAGGGTCAGAGGGAGAAGCAGACTCCCCGCCGAGCAGGGAGCCCGATGCGGGACTCGATCCTGAGACTCCAGGATCATGACCTGAGCCCAAGGCAGTCGCTGAACCAACTGAGCCACCCAGGTGCCCCCAAATGTCCTCTTTTTATAAGGACATGGGTAGTTTTGTTGAGGTGCCCACCCTGGTCCAGCAGAATCTCATCTTAACTGAATGCACCTGCCCCGGCCCTATTTCCAGATGAGGCACTAGGGTTAGGAAGTCTGCTCCTATTCAACAGTTCAACCCAGAACAAAACCCATCCCTCCCTCCCTCATTCTCTTCTAATAGAAGTGGAGTCTCTAAGACAACTTGGCACTGTGTCCATCCACGTTGGTAGGCCAGGCTTTGCCTCGGTGACTTAACATCATACTCTCCTCATTTGCTTTTTCCAACACCCTAAGGTGGAATTTGAAATCTGTGTTCCCTGATCCACTGACATACTAACCCCAAATCACGTGTATGGGGAGCTACCAAGTGCTGATTCCTGAACATTGCTCACCTCACCTGATCCCCGTACAAACTGGCAGGTTTGGAATTATTTCCAATTTATAGGCGAGGAAGCTGAGTTCAGGGGACTCTAGTGACCACCGTCGTGGAGTTCATCAGCAAGCAAAAATGCAAAGTCTGCCTTCCAGAAACATCGAAACACTTGTCGGTGATGAACACGATGACATCGATGTTCATGAGGATTCTTTGAAGTCTTCATGCCAATGGCCTTTGGGGCTGGGAAATCGGCAAAAAGCTATACAAATTCCAAGTCCCACCCCCACATCTCATCTCCAGGGATGTTTTGGGTTTGCGTTCCTCTCCTTTTTGCATGAATAGGAGGAGAGGCAGAGAGACACAGTAACTCACAGAATGACCTGGATTCCCGCTGCAACTCTGCACCTACCGGTCACGTGTGGCCTGAGGAAGAGGATCTTCTGGTCTGCGTGAGAGGGATGATAACGGTGCAAGGCTCCTGAAGGACTGAACGAACAGATGTGCCCAAGGCTTAATACGGTGCCTGGGACATCCATCCCTCCACTGGCCTCTGTCGGTGACGCTGAGCACACTGACCAGCCGCCGAGGGAGGAATGTGTGCAGGGGCTCATTGGGGGAAGTCTACTCGCTCAGCATCAGCAAGCTTGTCTGCAGCAAATCTTGGAAGCCAGTCCCTGTAAATCTGCCACCTGTCTTGTTTCTCTTACCTTCGCCCTATCAGTGGTTTACGAATGTGTCCCCACAGAAATGGGACTGTATAGAGCACACTGGCAAAGTAGTTTCCCCCACGCTCATAAACCACTCAGTTTCTACCAAGACAGATCAATAGACATCTTGCTTGGGAAAAATATTCAAAAATGTTTTTGATAATGAGTGGTGGGATTTTCACACCCCCCCAGCTGTACAGCCAAGAACACTCCTGTGCCTCGTGAACCATGGCCATGCCGTGGTTCTTCTCACCAAACCCTCGTCCTGACCACATTTCTGTCTTGGGGGACCACACTGACCTGAAGCCGGAGCTTCTGTCTGGAATGGGACGGCTCATACCTGGGCATGTCTAACAGCGGGTAGCCTTTCCACAGGACGGATTGTTCGCACCAGAGTCCCACGCGGAGTCAACACGTTCGTGGTTCATTAGCTCACAGCTTGCATCACCGGCAGCAGGATGGGTTGAAGGCAGTGCAGGCAGGGGGACCACCATCCGTCTCCGCACTGCTCAGCACCAGCTCTCGAGGCATGCTTGGAAGATCGCTGGTGGTCCAGGCGGGTCTTAGGAGCACGCTGAGCAGCCGGTGTTCTGAGCCGGAGCAACCTCAGGGTAAAAGGTAGGGGCTGTTTTAGCATTTCAGTCCCGGGTGTTGATAAAGCACCCCCTCCCCGCACCCGCGCCGGAGATTCTGGGCTCATCCCGACCTGGTGCTGGAGCCGGCGGCCTGGACACCACACTGGCTTTAAGTCGGCTCCCCGGTGTAACCTCTCTTGTCCGGAGGCCAGAAGGGCAGAAAGACCACTGGGTGGGCCTTACAGCTAAGCTTGCCTCTCTTGGGTTACATAAGACCAGACCCCCCTCGGATCTTCTGCCCCAAGCATGGCACCTTCTCCTCCCTGCCCCCACGCCAGGGCCCGCCCCTGCCCCCATCCTGTAGGGGTGGCACTGTGTGTCCCCCCGATGCTCTCCACTCTGGCTCTGCATTTGAGCACATTAACAAATGGCTGTTTTTCTTTGAAAGGACAATTTTACCTCCTGGCAAAGGAAAATGAACGTTAGAGTCGGGTTTAAGATTCCTGCACCAAAATTTTGCATGGGCTCAGACCCAGTGGAACATCTTCACATTCCCTGCGACTAATTAAAGCAAAGGAAGAAAAAGGCACGGAGTGTGCAGGCCCCCCCCCCGAGCACCTGAGCGGGCAGCTGTCTCTCCCTGGTTCCACATTAACGATTTACCCGCATGTGGGAGGAGAGGGGCGCGTCCTTCATGTGCTTCGCTTCTGGCAAACGTTTCCTATGGCAAATGTGGAAACTCTTGCAAAAGTCATGGGTAGGACAAGTCTCCAGAGTTTCCACTGCAAACTGCAGGCCGGTATTTCCTTGGTACAGGGAGGTTCCACAGCATCGTATGCTCTCTGCTGCGACTGAGGGATTTTGTTTAATAGTACCCCAGTCCTGCCCGGTATTCCGATTACTCTCTTCATGGGGTTTCCATCGGGAGCTTGTTACAAATGGTCACCTCTGTCACCTAAGCACAACGATTTTGTTGCATAAAATCCCAGGACTGGAGACCGAGCATGTTCACCTCAATGGGTAGCCGACTGGGCGAGATGTGGGTGCCCCAAAACCACAGGGTGAAAAATGCTAAGCAGAGCCCCCGCTTTTGAGCATGGGTTCAGATGCCCCCAGGAGTGGACCTGGTGTACGTTTCCAACTTCAGTTGTCTGATCCGACTCACACACTTAACCGGGAGCCACTCTGTTGGCGATGCCCGTATGATCCTTCCCCATCCTCTCCCATGTCTGCCCACACCTTGTGCTCACCTTCCACGCCCTGCCACGGCCACGTGAACGCACCTCCTACCTGCCTTCCAGGCTCAGGGCGCATATAACTGCTCCCCTCTGGGTGCCTTCCCAGCCAGGCTGTGCGGTGGGGTCTTTTTCAGGGGCATCCACCAGAGAGCTTGCATAGAAGAACGACACGCACCCATTATTCTCCTTGCAATTTTGCATCAGGTTTCACGAGATCTCTGGTGTGCCATTCTCAAAGGAAGGATATAGGCAAAGAAAGCCCTCGAACCCATTGAGAACCCACACGCGTAGAGCAATACGTACTTGCGTGAATGGAATCTTCAGGAAACAGCCTGATGAGCGGGAAGGGGCAGACAGCACTTGAATGACAAGGCGAATGTAAGGTTAGGCTGTGGCCCTGGTTGTGGGGACAGCAGGAGGGCGGGAGGGTGGCTCAGGCTCAGTGGATACAACTGCAGAAGGAGATCCCACGGCAGGCCGCTGAAAACGGAGCCCTACCTGGGATCGCGTGGTCCTGCCCTGAGAGATTCCCGGACAGTAGGATGAGGTACAGATTGATGTTTTGTTTAATTTTGTTCTCTTTAACTGTGCTAAAATACAGTTTTCCGTCCTCACCATGTTTAAATGTACATTCACTTAATCCCGTGGCATTAAGCACGCTCATGTTGCTCTGCGGCCACCACCACCGTCCACGTCCGGAACGTTCTCATCTCCCCGAACGGAAGCTCTGTCCCCATGAAACACCAGCTCCCCGTCCCGTCCCCCATCACCCCCCACTCTGCTCTCTCGTCTGTGGATCTGACCACTCTGGGGACCTCGTGCACGTGGAACCCTACAGTGTGTCTCCTGTGTGTGGCTCTTTACACCCAGCCTCACGTCCTCCAGGTTCATCCACGCTGGAGCATGTTTCAGAGTGTCCTTCCTTTTCGTGGCTGATGATAGTCCACTGTGCGGATGGACCACATTCTGTTTATCCATTCACCCGTCAATGGACACTTGGTTATTTGCACCTCCAGGCAGTCGTGAATATGCATCTCTGCAGGTGCCGATTTTTAAAGGGAACAGGGATAGAAGGGGCATGTGGTGAGCTTTAGAAATGGTACCTTTGAAGTAAAGAATAAGAGAAGTCATGCAAATGGCTAACAGACACATGAAAAAGTGTTCATCATCATTAGCCATCAGGGAAATCCAAATCAAAACCACACTGAGATACCACCTTACACCAGTTAGAATGGCAAAAATGGACAGGGAAAGAAACAACAAATGTTGGAGAGGTTGTGGAGAAAG